TTTATTTAAATATATAGATATATACATAAGCATAGCACCATAAACATATTAGAGATACTTTGGGATCTTATTTTTTTTTGAATGGGAAAAAAGGCATTGAAGGAACCTATTGCGCCACAGTAACTGTTGCCTCAAGCTTCAGCTGAAATCCTGGGTTTCAGACGGCTCATAGAGCCCAGTGAACCACTCCTCCTTCTGCTGTTATTATATGGGGAAGGTTACACCAAGTTGATAAGGGCTAACGTAAAACCAGCCAATGTTGAACGAAAGTGCATATTTCAAACAGGGCCAATAATATCTTCCTAGTTTACACCAGAGGTTGTTGGAAGTGAATGGAACAAATTCATAACCCAAAATAAGCAAGCAAACAAACAAAAAACCCAAATGTGTGGGACAACTGGATATTTACATGTAAAAGAATAATGTTGGATCCCTACCTGACAACATATATGAAAATTAACTCAAAATCACTCAAAGACTTAAATGTAAGAGTCAAAACTATAAAACTTTAAGAGGAAAACATCAGTGTAGATAAACGTGATCTCGGATTAAGTAACAATTTCTCAGATGATACTCAAAGCACAGCAACCAAAGAAAAACATAGGCGAATTAGATTTCATCAAATTTGAAAAGTTTTGTACTTCAAAGGACACTGTCAAGAAAGTGAAAAACAACCCACAAGATCGGGCCATATAATTGCAAATGACATATCTGATAAGGGCCTAATATCTAGGGATATATAAAAATATTACAATTTTAAAAAACCCAAGTTGATTCTTAAATGAGCAAAGAATTTAAATAGATATTTCTCCATAGAAGATCTACAAATGGCCAGTAAATCCATGAAAGGATGTTCAAACTCATCAGTTACTTGGGAAATGTAAGTCAAAATACCAAGCTACCACTTCACTTCCTTTAGGATGGTTAGAATAAAAACCACAGATAATAACAAGTGTTGTTGAGATTATGAAGAAATTGGAATTCTCATACATTGATACATTGCTAGTGGGGACGCAAAATGGTGTAGTCACTTTGGAAAAAAGTTAAAGATAGAGTTCCTGAAAAAGTTCCTGAAAAAGTTAAAGATAGAGTTAACCAAATTAATCAGCAATTCCACTTGTAGGTATATAACCGAAAAAACTGAAAACATTTTCACACAAAAACTTTTACATGAATGTTCAAAGCAGAATTATGTATAATGGCCAAAAAGTGGAAACAATCCAATTGTACATCAACTGATAAATAAATACAATGCATTATATTCACACAATGGAATATGATTTAACCATTAAAAGGAATAAAGCAGTGATACATGCTTCAACATGGATGAACCTTGAAAAAAACATTATGTCTCTTGGCCCAACACAAAAGGCCACACATTTTATAGTTCTGTTTATATTAAATGTTCAGAATAGGCAAATTCATAGGGATAAAAAAATAAATTAGTGTTTACCAGGGACTGGGAGAAAAGGGAAATAGGAAGTGACTACTAATGGGTATATGATTACTTTTGGGGGTGATGAAATTGTTCTGGAATTAGATGGTGATGATTAGTTGCATAACTTTGTAAACTACTAAAAGCCACTGAGTTGTACAATGGGTGAATTTTATGGTATGTGAATTATATCTGCTTAAAAAGAAAACAGATACAAAACAAATGTGTTTAATACTTTTCCAAGTGTTAAACATTGTATATGAATGTAGATACCAGCTACTGGTGATTTGTTGATTGTGGAATTGGCTGAAAGTCTGTAACTTTGCCACTTTCCTTTCTGGAACTGGGATTACACTACAAACTTTCACCTTTGTCCTTTAATTCCTATGCAGATACTTCGTTTACTCCAGAGTGCCCAGAGATCCCCCAATCAGAAAGAATAGACTGCACGCCTGGCCGGGTGGTGACAGAGGTCAGAGAAATAGGGTCACTATTGGTGGCCTACTGGGTTTTATTGAAAGGAACCCAGTAGGTACAGTAGGGAGAGGGTGGTGGTGGTGTGGTTTATGGGCCTCTGATTTGTTTGGAGCTCTTTCTTTCTTTCTTGCCTTTTTGAAATAAATAACAATACTATAGAAGTGAGGGAAGCAGGGTAGAGAAAAGCGAACAGTAAGAGGTGCTAACAAGAGTGTTGGCCTAAATCTAAAGTCCAAACTGGAGGGTGATTACAGGTATAACTAACTATACCTTAAGTACAATTCCAAGGATAGCCATGGGAAGGTTAAATATTTGTGGGCTAGGCTATACATTCTTTGAGAATAGAGGCCACCAAGCACATGTAGATGACTGAGTCACTTGTAGAACTCAGGTGGCTTATTATAACAGGAGACTTCTGGAATTATGTTATTGACAACAGAGGGCCCAGCGAACATGTGCTAAAGAATACAGGTTTTCTCTCTGAGTAGCTTCCATAAGAATATCAGCTATTTGAAACCTGCTTAGTTGTGACTTACGACTTTGTCATAAAAGTTGTATATATTTATATATTCAAATTTTATTTCTTTACCCTATAGCCTACATTTCATATCCTATTGTGATGTTAGTTAGGACTGCATTGAGTTTTAGGTTAAATTTTAAACAGTGTTGACATCTTGACAATTTTGAACCTTCCTTTTCTAAAACCATAGAAAGTCTATTCCAGTTCTCTGTGTGTGTGTGTGTGTGTGTGTGTGTGTGTGTGTGT